AATGTCAAGAAGATGATGAATAGTAAACTAAGTTCACATCCATGGTTGCATTTCTCATGTTTCATCATTTTGAACTTGCTTTTGAAGATCTTGCATAACATAAGAGTGTATATATATCTTGCATGTTTCCAAAAACAAAATTATGGCTCACATGTTTAATTTCATGTTTTGAAAATCACGAAGAAATAGAATTGGTTGGATTTTGATAAGTGTTTTATACATGCATCATGGATTTTGAAGAATTTAAGTTGACCAATTTCATGTTTTGAAGAGAAGAAGGAAGAAAATTTATAAGAATATAAGATTAGTAATTTTGATGTCAATTCCATACATGCAAATGGTTATCTAAGAAGTTTATAATTTTAATTTCATGTCTTGGAGGAAGATAGAAAAGAGTTTGAAGTCAATTTTATGTAAACAAAAATAAATTAGCAAGAAGATGAGTTAGGTTCCTGATTATGGAAATTAACTTAGAAATTAATTATTTTGGGTTTGATTTTGAATATCTTATAAGAATCTGAATCTTATTGTTACATGCATGTAATTTGGAGAAATTAAAGAATTAATTCATGAACATGGTTAAGGTTAATCAATATGGAAATAAATTATAATTTATATTTGAGAATCAAAAATTAGTTTGATTTTGATTTAAATTTCTTACTTGTAAATATTTTGAAAGGGCTTTATAGCTTTAATTTATGTTTTATAAAACAAAGAAAAAGAATGTTGGAATTATTATATTCATGAAATTATTGGTTTTAATTTTAATGATCAAAGAGATTTTTGTATTAGAAATTGGCAAATTAGTTATGGGTTCATCTTTATTAATAAAATTACATGTTTAAGTTGGTTTATGCAAGAGTTTAAGTTTTCGATATGTGTTTGGAAATTATTTGTTGATTTTGAAAGCATAGGAAATTTGATAGCCGCTCGAGTGGTAATTAAGGCCAACCAGTATTTTTACATAGCTTGCAGACCGCTCGAGCGACCAAAGGTCTGCTCGAGCGAAGACCTTATTTCAGCATATTTTAAAAAATTGCATTTAGTTCACCTTTTTTATTCTCATCTCTTTCGAAAGCATTCTAGACACGATTTATGGCTCAATAAAGATTAATAAGCTAACAATCAACATTAATTAGTTGATTAAAGAGTAAGTCAATAACTTAGTAGTACTTGATTAAAAAGCCAAGTAAGGAATTGATTTATTCATAAAAGAATGATTTAGTAATGAAAGAATATGTGAAATGAGAACCCGATTCATTTGAATAAAAAAAGAATAAGCGCAGTAGACCTTCAGATTATTTAAACAGAAGACAAGAAAAGTTAAGTTTGATCAATAAATTAATATTGTGTTTCAATGTGTATATGTTATATAAAGTTTTAAATTTTTCTGTCTCATATAAGTCTGCACAGCTCAATGGATGTTGTATAATTGTTATTTGCTTCCACAACCCCTAATTATATGTTATTCTGTTAAGAGGCGTTTGGTAATCAAAAGTTTACTGGCCGGTTACGACGCTAAATTTATAGGGGCGAGTTTGGGTCGTGATAGACATTTGATCTATTTGACCAGTACACGATCAGATTTGACATTTGTTGTGAGTGTGGTTAGTCAGTTTATGCATTCACCTCGTACTGCTCACCTTGATGTTGTTCACCACATCTTGAGATATCTCAAGTCGTGTCTAGGTTTGGGTTTATTCTTCAATGGTGGGATTTAGACAGGATTGTCCTATTTTACTAATGCAGACTATGCAGGTTCATTGACTGACAAACGTTCCACTTCTGGGGTATTGGTACCCATCTTCTGTCATGGAAAAGCAAAAAACAAGCGGTTGTTTCTCGACTACTAGCTGAAGCTGAATATCGTGCCATGGCTAATGGGACATATGAGTTACTATGGCTTCAGTCCATTCTTACTAAGTTAGGCTTTGAGGAGAATAATTCCTCCAAGCTATTTTGTGACAATAAGCCTGCCATCTTACTTGCCTCTGACTCTGTGCTTCATGGGAGTACTAAGCATATTGAGGTTGATATTCATTTCATCCAGGAAAAGATTCGAGCTAGCATTGTATGTCCTTTGTTTGTTCCATCTTCTGATCAGGCTGCTGACATCTTCACCAAATCTGTAGGACCATTCCTACTTCGATCTTCCATTGGCAAGCTAGGGTTGGTTGACATCTTTGATCCAGCTTGAGAGGGAGTGTTGGAATATGGAATATTGTATATTTAATTTAGGAATTTATTTTTAGGATTTGATTGTATAATTATTTAATTCTTTTTTCCCATGTATCTTATATTGATTATATATAGACATGGTCTCATCCAAATTAGGGTAAGCCAATATTTTATAACTGCCTTCTATTCCTTCTAAATGTCAAAAGAATTATTTCAACATTTTAACACTTTCAAATCTTTGGCCAAGTCTGACTCTAACATGCTTGAATTTTGCCTATCCAAATTTAAAGTTTCCAGACAAATTGCATAAACACCATTTCTGAGGTACAGTTTCAGAGAAATTGATCACATAAAACATCATCGTGGAGTCAAATTCAACTACAATAGTAGATTCTATGTGAAGCTCGATTTTGCAATGTGAATATATATAGATAATGTGTGTTAAAAAGAAGTAATGTTTTGAATACATTAGGTAATTTTATTTTTTCTCCAAAATTAAACTGAATAGGTGTCTTTCTTTACTCATTTTTTTTTTTTTTTTTTTTTTTTTTGGATCCACTTATCATGTGGAGCAACACTACATTCTTAGCCTTGAGTACAAGTTTTTTTTTTTTTTCTTCTTAGTCTTGAGTATATATATATATATATATATAATTTTGTGGCAAAGTTTGACCCTTTTGGAGTTGGTGCATGCATTATACCTCATTGCTCTGGCCTCTACTTTGTTGACCTCTGAACTTTTCTTTTTGTGTAACTTTTAGTAGGGGAAAGGAAAACTCAGTTGCCTACAATACATTGTTGAAATATACTATGAAGTACGAAAACTTACTCTGAAGTTTATCTCAAAACAAATTGTACAGTGTAGATTTAAAGTTAGTGAGATGTAGGTCCTACCTAAAATGATTGTGATTCAGACAAGTATTTTTCTAGATAATTTTTTTAAATTTGTAGCATTGTCGATACATTGTTTACTTGTTATTATTACTCTATTCTTCGTTCTAATTCTATTATTTAGTTGCTGGCATTTTCTGTATCAAGAATTAGCCTCTCTTTTTATTTATTCTGCCCTTTTTTCTTTTTTTGGTTTTTGGTTTTTTTGATACAGTTGTTCTACATGTACAAAATTTGAATACAACCCTTTCACATAGGGGTGCAACTCGGGCGGGTTCGGTCGGGTTGGGGGTCTGCCCAAGCCCGACCCGAATTGTATTTGGCACTGCCCAAGCCCGCCCAAGCCCGACCATGAACCCGAACATTGTTGCCCAAGTAGCATATTTCCCTGATGATTTCAAGGAATATGTGGACACTCAACTCAGCTGCTCTCCAGTGGAGGATTATGACAGAGATTTCATTGGATGGGTTTTCCAGAGCCGACACGAACCTGTTCACCGTGAGTAAACTTTTTATCTCACTTCTTCTTCTTCTTGGTTTGAATGGGTTTGTTTATTTAATTTGTAATGGGGTTTAATTTAAAAGTCAATTTTAAATCAACACAGTTACCTACCTGCTTTTGAAATCTCACTCTCTCTTGGAATTTTTTTTTTAATATTATTAATCAGATATTTTGGATTTAAACTACAAGATCAAAGATGTCCTTCGAAAGTATTTACTCGATTGCTATGTACGATTACATCCAACACTAGTTCAATTTTGGGCACCCACAATGACAATGGAGGGCAAGTCTTACCTTACAACTCAAAACCAACCTTTCGCTCTTGCTACACGTGTTAGAAGAATTGGTGATGTTAAAGGACTTTGTGGGTATAGGATGATCTCTAAGGATTATAAATTTTACATGGATAGAGAGAGTTCTGATGAACAACTTGGGGTTCCTGGCCGTGTGTTCAATCATGGATTGCCCGAATCCACTCCCAACGTAGAATATTACTCTATCAAAGAGTATCCATTGTGTTGCTTTACGTTGCCAAGTTGCACAATCTTTGGCTATCCCGGTGTTTTATCCTTCTACCCGAATATGTGTTGGTGTACTTGACATAGTTTCAACCACGCCCTCAAAGGAATTTCTATTTTACGACCACTATGTTTGCTGGCACTTGCTTAATTATTTTGAGGTTAGTCCCCCCAACTCACAAATTGGCATTTTTTTTATCTTCCTAATCATGATTAACTAACTCCTCTCTCTCCTTGCTTGCATGCATGCAGAATTGTGCTCCTTTGATAATTTAATTTTTTTTTTAAAAAAAGAATAAATTATGCAAATAGTCCCTATAGTTTACATGATATATCAATTTGGTCCCTGTAGTTTCAATTTGCTCGATTTTGCCCTTTAATTTAACGGATTGTGTCATTTTAGTCCAATAAATAACGGTTGTTAAGTTAATTTAACGGAAAGTCAAACAATGTGTCAATTTGATCCCTGTATTTTTCACAATGTGTCAATTTAGTCCTTGTCAAAATCGAAAAAATTGAAACTATAGGGACCAAATTGATTCATTGTTTGACCTTCCGTAAAATTAACTTAACAACCGTTATTTATTGGACTAAAATGACACAATCCGTTAAATTAAAGGGCAAAATCGAGCAAATTGAAACTACAGGGACCAAATTGATATATCATGTAAACTATAGGGACTATTTGCATAATTTATTCTTTTTTTAAAAAAAAAATTAAATTATCAAAGGAGCACAATTCTGCATGCATGCAAGCAAGGAGAGAGAGGAGTTAGTTAATCATGATTAGGAAGATAAAAAAAATGCCAATTTGTGAGTTGGGGGGACTAACCTCAAAATAATTAAGCAAGTGCCAGCAAACATAGTGGTCGTAAAATAGAAATTCCTTTGAGGGCGTGGTTGAAACTATGTCAAGTACACCAACACATATTCGGGTAGAAGGATAAAACACCGGGATAGCCAAAGATTGTGCAACTTGGCAACGTAAAGCAACACAATGGATACTCTTTGATAGAGTAATATTCTACGTTGGGAGTGGATTCGGGCAATCCATGATTGAACACACGGCCAGGAACCCCAAGTTGTTCATCAGAACTCTCTCTATCCATGTAAAATTTATAATCCTTAGAGATCATCCTATACCCACAAAGTCCTTTAACATCACCAATTCTTCTAACACGTGTAGCAAGAGCGAAACGTTGGTTTTGAGTTGTAAGGTAAGACTTGCCCTCCATTGTCATTGTGGGTGCCCAAAATTGAACTAGTGTTGGATGTAATCGTACATAGCAATCGAGTAAATACTTTCGAAGGACATCTTTGATCTTGTAGTTTAAATCCAAAATATCTGATTAATAATATTAAAAAAAAAATTCCAAGAGAGAGTGAGATTTCAAAAGCAGGTAGGTAACTGTGTTGATTTAAAATTGACTTTTAAATTAAACCCCATTACAAATTAAATAAACAAACCCATTCAAACCAAGAAGAAGAAGAAGTGAGATAAAAAGTTTACTCACAGTGAAGGAGAATCGGAGGAAGTTCAGGTTCGTGTCGTCTCTGGAAAACCCATCCAATGAAATCTCTGTCATAATCCTCCACTGGAGAGCAGCTGAGTTGAGTGTCCACATATTCCTTGAAATCATCAGGGAAATATGCTAGTCTTCCTCCTACCTGACTACTGTAATCAATTGACCTATATCCGCCTGATTCAGCCATTTTCTGAGGAGAAAAAACAGGGAACCTCAACTTAACTCAACTAACCCAACCCACCCTAGCAATTAATATTTTTAGACTCACAAATTCTCGATATGGCAAAGAAGTTAGGCCCTATATCATTATATGTTTAGTCAATTAAAAGTTGACACATATGATATTACATCATTATTATGGATATAATTGTGAAAAATTTTTGCGGGTCTCAAATGTATTATGGGGTTTGAAATAAGTTCAAAGGGTTATCACTGTGCTAATATGGTTCAAATGGTTATCCCCATGTGTCCTTTTAGCCCAACTACTAGTAATACCAACCAACACTTTTCAGAGTGCACATGCTACCAGAGTTGGAATGAAAAAATAAGAAAAGACGAGACTAATTGAGAATTTATATGTATATGTATATAGAGAATTTATACCTAAATCCCTCCTCTCAGGTCACTAACTTGATATTATGACAAATATAGCAAAAGGAACAAAAAAACATGATAACCAAAACAAATCAACATAGACCTCACCATAATTCAAATTTAGTGGGATGGTCAATGTTGCCACCAAGTAGACAATGTGCATATACAAAAGCAGTAACTACGAGATATATATGTTATATTAGTTAGTAAATGAGGGCAACCAAAAAATACATATATATATATATATATATTAGGCATACCTCTTTATTTGAGTATGAGACCCAATTAGTTTGTTAAAAAATTTTAATTTGATTTGGTTTGGGTATAATATATTTTATATATATTATATCTAATTTTTAGAGACCTAATTCAATTTGAATACAACTAGAGTTTGATAAAACAAACTCAAGACTCAACCATATATATATATATATGGCTTTGTTTTCGGGTAATCCGATGAAGGCAGCATAGTGCTTGGTGCAAATTGATTCAATTGGTAAAAAGTTTTGCTGGGAATTTGACTTGGTCAAATTCAAGATTGGTGCCTTGGTTGCTGCTCTGTTTTGAAACTTTTGGTTCAGTGTTCGGTGTTGATTTGGGTTATTATTTTGGATCTTCTAGAACTCTGGTTTTGAAGATTTTAGTTCATCTATTTGGTGAGGTCTTTCCTCCTATTTATTTGTGATTATTTGGAATTCACATAAGGGTGGTTATGTGAGACCATTCGTGTCTTGTTTGTAATCGTTTGGAAACTTATTTGGTTGATAGTGGAATCGGATTTCGATCCCGTGGACATACCTCACATTGAGGGAACCACATAAAATTCTTGTGTTACTTTTGATTTAATTTTTTGCATTATTTTTTATTCCCATTGATTGATTTACTTGTGAGGAATCATATAGTTTCCCTAACAACTGGTATCAAAGCATGCGGTATATTTGGATTTATTTATTTGTGTAAATCAATGGAGGGAAATGTGGGTCATATGCCTAGCTTCAATGGAAGCAATTGGGTAACTTGGAAAACTAAAATGGAGGACCTATTATTTTGTAAAGATTTGTATAGGCCTATTGAGGGTGATAGTGGAAAACCTGATGATATGAAAGATGATGAATGGAAGAGGCTTAATCGAAAAGCCGTTGGTGTTGTCCGTCAATGGATTGATGACAGTGTGTTTCATCATGTTGCTACTGAAACTTCAACACATGATTTATGGAAAAAATTAGAGAGTCTTTATGATAGAAAATCAGCTACCAATAAAGCTTTTCTGTTTCATAAGTTGGTTAATTTAAAATATAAAGAGGGCAGCCCAATTCCAGAAAATCTGAATGAAATAAAGAGTATTGTTAACCAACTTGCTTCTATGAAAATTGTTTTTGATGATGAGTTGCAGGTCTTGATGCTACTTAGTTCTTTACCCAAAAGTTGGGAGACTTTGGTTGTGACGGTTAGTAATTCGGCACCTGATGGAGTTTTCACAATGGACCAAGTCACTAGTAGCTTGTTGCATGAAGAAACTAGAAGAAAATCAGCGGGTTCCTCTCATTCGGAAGCATTTGTTGTGAGAGACCAAAGCAAAACAAGGGGGAGGAGTAAGACTCATCATGGTCGTGATCAAAGCCGTGACAAATCAAAAGATGGTTCTTTTTCAAAGAAAGACATTGAGTGTTATTATTGCCATGAGAAAGGGCACATGAAGCGAGAATGGGTATGATAGTCGAAAAGCTGCAAGAACAGGGAGTGAAGGAACTGCACATGACAAAAGGGTGTAGAAAAGAAGAGCCAGGATGAAAACACAACGGGAGGTCACGTACTACCGAATATGTGATCTCGGCGTTATGTGGAACGAGGCCATTGTTAATCAAATTGTATGTAGGCTCAGAGAGCAATTGGGTGATTGATGGCTCGTGTGCCCCTTCTTTCATGTGACTTCTCGAAGTTGAGGATTCTTACACGTAACCTATACCAAAGGAGAGATTATGGTATCTGTTGCGCCTTAGGTAATAGAAGGTTTGGTGCGCGAAGATTATTGGCATAAGGGTTGATATGGTATGATGGAGAAACAAATTGGGTCTGCCAAAGTTTGTTGCTGGGTAAAGATTGAGAGACATGTATCCTCAGACAATTCACCTCAATTTGAGTCTCTATACGCAGGAGCTAAGATGATCAAGGGGCTTGCACAGCACACAAAAATTTGGTGATGAAGATATACGCTGAAAGCTCGAGACAAAGGATCTTTGGTGTGGTTAAGTGCAATAAGACTCATAACGGACTTGGTAGGTCACAAGGTGAAAAAGGAAAATTTGTTAAAGGGTGTCTAATTAATATATCACTTGAAGATTAATACTTTCTACTGAATTGTGCACAAGGACTTGGCACATGAGTGAGAAAGAGCGCTGCCAAGTTTTGTGCAAGAAAGAGCTTCTACTCGTCGGGTAAAAAGGTCAATCTCAAAAAACTTGATCGTTCATTGTTTGGTCGGGTAAAGCAACATAGAAGTTTCTTTCATAAAAAATGTTGCTTCTTAGAAAGAAAAAGTTTGTGGAAGTTGAGTTCATTCGGAGTGTTTCCGTGGTCCTTTCTGAAAGTTAGAAACGACATAAAGTGGATGGCGAATCTTTATTTATGTTACTCTTCATTGATGAGGCGATTTTTTTTTGACATTATTCATGGAAAAAATTGCCAGGTTAAATTGTACACGTGCTCTCTTGCGCACATATAAGCGCGATATGGCGGGTGCAAAATTGCAGTAATGTGTAGAAGTGGCGGTGAGTGCTCATTGGTGCGACCAAATGCAATGCAAAAATGCAAGTAATGTTGCAGGAACAGTGTGATTGAGATGCGCAACATAGCGCGATTATAAATGCATGCAAAATGCAAGTACGTTGTGCCTTGATACTTTCGATGAGTGCGCCAGATATTAGCTGCGATAAATTATGCATTAGCAAACTGGCAAGTTTTGGTTGCAGAAAAAATCGTGGCGATTTGAGGTTGCGAAGATTGCGCGATCGAAAAGCCATGCAATGGCAAGTATTTTTAATTTGTGCAAAGAACAGTGCGATGAGGTGCGCCAAGAATAGTGCGAGAAAATGCAATGCAAAATGCAGTATATGCATTTATTAAACAGTCGATGAGTGGGAAGATGCGCGACAAATGCATGCAAAATGCAAGTTATGTGCAGAACATGCCGTTGAGGTGCGCAAGATAGCGCGATAAAATGCACGAAAAATGCAAGTATGTGCGAGCAACAGTGCGATTGGGTTGCGCTTTTTTTTTTTTAATTAAGATTTGCGCGATTTTTCAAAATGCATTGCAAATTGCAAACGTAAATGTGAGAAAAAGGCGATGAGGTGGCGCAAGATAGGGCGAGAAAATGCTTCAAAATGCAAGTAATGTCACAAAACAGTGCGATTGAGTTTGTCGGAGATAGGCTGAACAAAATGCATGTAAATTTGCAAGTAAGTGCAGAAAACAGTGCGTTGAGGTCGATAGTAGCGCGATAAAATGCATGAAATGGATGTGCAAAAGACATTGTGCGATGAGTGCGCAAGATTCGCGACAGAAATGCATGCAATTTTTAAAGCAGGTAATGTGGCAAGTAAACATGCGATGAGGTGCCGCATATTGATGGGCGATGAAATGCTGCCAAAATGCAAGTTAATGTCAGTTAAACAGTGCGGAGGGTGAGGAAGAATTGCGCGACCAAATCCATGCAAATGACAAGTAATGTGCAGAAAGTGCGATTTGAGGTGCGCTCAGATAGCGCGACATGCATGGCAAAGTGCAAGTATTCGTGCAACAGTGCTTTGAGGTTTGTGCGCATAGGCGATAAAATGCTGCAATGCAAGTAATGTGCAGGAGAAATGTGCGATGAGGTGCGCAATTATACATTGCGCGACAAATGGCAATGAAATGCAAGTAACTGTGCAAATAGTGCATGAGGCGCGCAGATAGGTGCGAGAAATGCAATGCAAAATGCTAGTAATGTGCAGAAAACAGTGCGATGAGGTGCGCAAGAAGTGCGAGAAATGCATGCAAATGCAGTAATGTGCAGAAAACAGGCGATGCAGGTGCGAAAGAAAGCGCGACAAATCCATTGCAAAATGCAAGTAATGTGCAGAACAGTGCGTTGAGGTGCGCAAGATAGTCGCGATAAAATTGCATGCAAAAATGCAAGTAATGTGCAGAGATACAGTGCGATGAGGTGCGCAAGATGTCGCGACAAAAATCCATATTACGCAAAATGCAAGTATTGTTGCAGAAAACAGTGATGAGGGGCGCAAGATAAGGCGAGAGATGCATGCAAAATGCAAGTAATGTGCAGACCAGTGCGTGAGGTGCGAAAGATGCGCTTTTTATTTTTTTTAAGTATAAAAAATGGAATGCAAAATGCAAAGTAATGTGCAGGTTAAAACTTTTTATATAAGTGGTTGAGTGCGCAATTGTATTTTGTAATCGCGATAAAATGCATTAATTGCAAATGCAAGTAAGTTGCAAGAACAGTGCGATTGAGGTGCGCAGATTGCGCGACATTCCATGCAAATGCAAGTATGGTTTGTCAGACAAACAGTGCGATGAGGTGCTCCGCATGAGCGCTTATTATGGACTTAAATGCAATGCAAAGTGCATAATTTGCAAAAACAGTTGCGTTGAGGGTGCGCAGATAGCGCGATAAAATGCATTTGCAAAAATGCAGTATGTGCAGAGAACAGTGCGATAGGTTCGCAATGATGCGCGATCAAAATGCATGGCAAATGCAAAGTAAGTGCAGAAAACAGTCCGATGAGTGCGGCAAGATAGTGCGAGAAATGCATGC